AAGAGAGAGAGAGAGAGAGAGAGAGAGAGAAAAAGAGAGAGAGAGAGAGAGAAGACCGAGATGAGAGAGAGACGCGCTGAGAAAAGAGAGAGAGAGAGAGAGAAAAGGCTTATCGAAAAGATCTGTGATTTGTCTTTTTTTATATCTATTTTTTGTATCATATTTCGTCATTCATTTATTATGTTTTATTCTTCTTTTTTTCTTTATCTATTTATAATGTGTGAAAAGTGTATGTAATCGCTTTTTGATTCGAGTATTTCAATTATTTATGCATATGTGTGTGTGTAGAGTTAATTAGCTAGGTAAACAAATAAACAAAATGATATATAAGAACAGATATAAATACTCCCATATTAGTGTGTGGGGAGGGGAGGGGGGTACCTACCTGCCTGTCTACCAAGGCAAACATCCCCATCCACATCTTCTAATGAACCTAATTAAATCCAACACAGATAACGCCACCTTCCTCAATCCACCAACCTAACCTAAACTACCCCTAATTTAAACTAAACCTAACCAATACACCTAACCCTTAACCTAAAACTACCCTAACTTAACCTAACCCCCCAACCCCAAAACCCAACCTAACCCAACCCACCTATACCTACCCAACCTAACCCAATCTAACCTAACCAAAACTACCCTAACCTAACCAACCTACCAATACAACCCAACCAAACCTAACCCAACCCAACCCAACCCAACCTACCCTACCCTACCCAAACCTAACCCAAACAACCAACCACCCAACCTACCCTACTTAACCTAACTAACCTACCCAACCCCAACCCAACCTACAATCCCAACCCAATTCCAAACCTACCCTAACCCACCTCCAACCCACCGCAAACTAACCTCAATCCGACCCACCCCAGCCACCCGCCACCAACTCAGCGATTGCGCGAATCCTAATCCACGCCGAATCTCCCTCGAATCTCTCTCATTCACTGCTTCTAATTCAAGCCTCTTTTTTTATCGAGTCTCTTTTATCCACTTCTTTTATCAACTTCTCCCTAGTCCTTCGCGCCTCTTTGTATCAGCAGCAAAGATAAAGTCCCATTGTCTTTCTTTTTGCTTTTATTAAGGCTTTTTTATAATCATTTATCTATTTATCTATCTATCTATTTATCTATTATTATTATTATCTTAATATTCCCTCTCGTAGATTCCTCATTATGGCTGTTTCTTTGAGGGTATAATTTTTCTTGTCTTTTATTTTTCCCTTTTATATCTCTTTCCAAGAATCTTTTTTTCTGTCTTTGTCTCTGTCTCTATATTCCTGTTTCTGTTTCTTCTTTCACTTTCCCTTTTTATTTTGTTTCGTTCTCTTCCTCTTTCCGTCTCCCTTCCTCCCTCCTCCCTCACCTCCCTCCCCTCCCTCCTCACCTTTCCCTCCCCCTCGCTCCTCCTCCCTGTTCCTATCTATCTCCTTCTCCCCTCTCCCCCTCCCTCCTTTACTAAGCAATATCCATCAAAGGAATAATCGCCGAAGACACGAGCGACCGAGCGAAGCGTAATAAATAAAACCCGCGAAGGCCTGGATTCACCAACGACCGTTATCATCCGCGTCGGTTAAGTGCCAGTTTTGAAATCACGTCTCATTTTCCCCGATAAATCTTCCTTACTTTCGATTTATTCGCTGGAGACCACGGCAATAACAGGGATCGTCGAATAAAAATCATCATCATCGTAAATGCGCATGAAATTCTTGTGTTTTATTGTTGTTTACGATGGAAAATCAGCTCGGGCACTACTTGGCTTGATATTCCTCCGCGCGCTTTAGTCACGTGACAGAACTTTCGTCCAAAATTGCGTCATAAAAACGCTGAAAAATCTCGTATTTACTTATTTACCTCAATTCAACCGAAGGTAATTGAATACCTTAATCAAGTTGGGGATATTTACCAGGTAAGAGTCGGTAAGAACTTAAAACTCGGTTTACCTTTATCAACACGATATTTTCTCTCCCTCTCTCATTTATACACATTTTCCCCCTCTATTTATATCGTTCTACATCAAAGCCAGACACCAAACATCCACCCAAAACATCTCAAAAACAAACAGCTCAGACACACAACATTCTACCAAAACACCAATAGATAACTTAGCACATTAATTTAGCCCAAAAAATGCGTCACAAAAAATTGAAACGCAGCAGTAAACAGAAAAAAAAAAAACGCGGCCATTTATTCTGGGTTCCTTTCCTTCATAAAGCACAAGACGCTGATCGTGAAACATGACCCCGACTGAATTACGGGGCGACAAGAACGCGGCAATAATTCATGAGAGAGAAAGAACGTGAGAGAAAGGGGAGGAGGAGGATAAAGGAGAAGATAGGGTAACAAAGAGGAAGAGAGAGAGAGAGGAGATATGTATCTATATTTTTCCTTTCTATCTATCCATGTATCTCTCTCTCTCTTTTTTATTTATCTATCTACTTACATCTATCTAGAGAGGAAAAAAAGAGAGAAACAAACAAACAAAACAAAACAAGATCCATAAAGACAATCAAATACAAAACGACAAAAATGACAAACAAACAAAACCCAGAATCCCCGTACTGCCCATGCCATAAAAGGAGAAAGAAGGAAAAAAAGGGAAAAAACGAGAAGAAAAAGTAAAAAAAAAAAAAAAAAAACGAGAAGAAAAAATAACAATAATCACCCCCCCCCCCCCCCCCCGCCCCCCCAAGCGAGCCACACCGGCATGAACGTGTCTCGCTGAACGTAATGAGACGTCCCGCTTCCAGCTGCGATAGATGTGATAGATAGTCAACTCCGGGGTTGATTTATCGGTGGGGAAGAAGGTGGAGGAAGAGGAAGTGGGGAAGAAGGAGGAGGAGAGGAAGTGGGGGAAGGAAAGAGGTGGAGGAGGAGGAAGTGGGGAAAGGAAGGAGGGGGAGGAGGGAAGAGGAGAGGAGGTGGAGGAAGAAGTGGTGGAGGAAGGAAGGAGACAAGGAGGGAGGGGGAGGGAGGAGGAAGTGGGGGGAAGGAAGAGGGAGGAGGAGGAAGAAGAAGGAGGAGGGGAGGAAGTGGTGGAGGTGGAGAAGGAGGAAGAGGACGAGAAGGGAAGGAAGGGTGGAAGGAGAAAGAGAAGGAGACGAAGAGGAAGAAGGAAGAGGGAAGGAAGGAGGGCGGTTGTGGGGAGAAGAGAGTGTGGTGTGTATGTGTATGTGTGCATATATGGATATTGTACATCCATACATATATCTTACATGCCAAACACACATATAGGGAGAATAAATATACCACACACACACACACACACACCCACCAACACAAAAAAAAAAACAAACAAAAAAAACACCCTTATTACCAGCTCACATAAAGGCGAGGCGAGGCCAACGACAGCCCCCCCTCCCCCCATCCCCCCCCAACAAAACAAAAAAACACACACAACACCCCCCCCCTACCCCCCTACCCACCCCACCCCCCAACACACACACAAAAAATACATGTCAACGAATTCGTCAAGTTGTTGTCATGCGCGCCATGTACTGTCATGCGCGCCGTGTACTGTCAACTGTCATGCGCTCGGGAGGCTGTGCACTGTCATGAGCCGCTTGTGTCATGCACGCTGTCGAAGGAGGTCGCCGGAACGAGACTCATGACCGCGCATAATGTATGACGTCACGGGTGCATGGCTCTCTGCATCCGGTTTGTGTATAGGGAGAAGGGGAGAGAGGGAGAAGAGGCGAAAGGAAGGGATAGGAGAGAGGAGGAGAGAGGGAGGCAAAGAAAGAGGGGAGAGGGGAAAGGAGAGGGAGGGAGAGGGAAAGGAGAGGAGGAGAGAGATGGAAGGGAGAGGGAGGAGAGAGATGGAAGGGAGAAAGGAGAGGAAGGAAGGGGAGAGGAGAGGAAGTAGAGGAAAGGGAGAGGGGGAAAGGGAGGGAAAGGGGAGGGATAGGAGAGGATAGGAAAGAGAGGGAGAGAGGGAAAGGAGAGGGAAGGAGAGAAAAAAGGGAGAGAGGGAGAGGAAGAGGAGGAGAGAGAGGGAGAGGGAAAGGAAGGAAGGGGAGAAATGTTGAAAGAAATACTGAATAAGCGAATAGGATCAAAA